ACCTTTAACTGCAGCAAGTGAACTGTTAATTGCAGTATGTGGAATCTGGTTCCCTGGCTGGGGATTGAACCCGGGCCCCTACATTGGGAATGCAGAGTCTTAGCCACTGGACCACCAGGGAAATCTCTGCATGGTCCCCTTACCTGGATCCTTCTTTCCTGGCCCAGATTGGGTTATAGGCATGTGCAGACCCAAGCCAAGGGGAAGCCAAGGGCCCGCTGTCTGCAGAGGCTGTGGACAGAGCTTAGACTTGTGAGCACAAGAGTCCACATGAACATGCAAAAGGCCTCATACATCTCTGGATGGAGCCAGGGTGGGAAAGAATCAGGATGTGGGGTCCCCCCGAAGAATGCCTCCACATTCCAGCACAAATTCTTCAAGAACCGAGGGTTCCAGGGTCGAACTTTATAATGAATAGAACCATGCTGAAGGTCTAGTTGTCAAAATAGGATGATGGGGCATGTGTAACAACTGTGAGCTGAGTTGTCATCTTTAATATGTAGACACTGTAAGGTAGCTCTCCATGTGTGCTCTTGTCCTGGGCCCTGCCAGTCGGGTGGCCTTGCTGCCTGCTGAAGCTGTGTCTCCTACTGAAATCGCACCTTTTCTTTCTCCCTGCTGTCTGTACCCTTGGGGTATTTGGGGAACTGGGACAAATCTGCAACCCTAGGCACTGACCACGGTTTTCTGGGAATTCTGGTGAAAGCCACGGGCAGTGACAACCTATAGCTGGGCCTCAGGCACCAGGTGGACAGTTCTGTGGGTTTTCATATCTTCATGTATCGGGATGTGGCCAGTTTGAGGAATCCTGCCCTTCACAGCCTGGGAAACTGGTCCAGTAAGGTCTCAACGGACCCTCCTCTCCCTCCTGCCACCCCTTTCTGATCACAGCCCCTCCACCTCCTCCTGATTCCTCACCAGGCCTGGGCCATGCCATGTCTTACTAAGTCCCCTCCCACGTCTTGCTGGACGCCTTGTCCTGGGGTCCTCCTCACCCACCCGGGGTCTGCTCCAGCACACCCCACTCTAAACTGAGTGACCACTGGCTTCCCTTTCTGAGGACTTGGCATTTGCACAGAGGGTTCCAGAATCCCACTCTGACTAGTAGGGTTCCTCTCTAATGATGGGATGTCAGGCAGTTTGTGTCAGACAGATACTTTTCTTACCAATGGCCACTGGTTGGAGTTCCTTTTGCAGTTGAGTCTTTTGCTCCTGTGTTCGTGCGAGCGTGTTGATGTGCAGAAGTCTTTGTGTGAAGATGTACAAGTGTGCATCTGTGTATGTGTGTGAATGAATGCTGGAGACTCCCAGAAGCTGAGATCTTTTGGAAGTATACCCTGCCTCTGTTTCTCCAGCTCTGCACCTATCAGCCCAGAACATACACAGCCAGAGCCAGGATTCTGGGCTTGTGGCCTCTGAGGTTCTCAGCTCTCCAGTCCTGTGTGAGGCTGGATGCAGTTGGCACCACCACACAGGAAGATGAGGCAGGGCCGTGGGAAAGTGGCAGTTTGGGGCCTTACAGAGCAGCACTTTCTAGGAAGTATGCAACCAGTCTCAATGTCCCAGGAGCTGCTGCAGGGCTGTTTCTAGGAGAAGCATCCTCTGCTGATCTTTAGGCACCCCTGATAAATCTCTTTCTGACTCTTCAGCTCTGCCCTGGCTTCCTCCAGATCTTTGAGCAAGGAGGCTTGGACCAGCTCACCGGTTGATGTCTTCTATTAGGATGAGACACTGGCCACTGGACAGCTTTCTGGTTTTCATTCATACTCAGCCATTCCGTCATTCTTGAGTGTTTCTGGTCTGTTGCCAGCTGAAGCTTTGGCTGGCCCACATCAAATGCACTTGGAAGACTCCTGGACTTGTGCAGACCCATCATCTTTCCTCTTGTCCCTCCACTGGGCATCCCAGCCAGCACAAGAGGAGATGAATCTCAAACGGGGCAATTTACCTACTGTTGGCAGTGCTGCCCAGAGGCTTAGAGTTGAGAAAACTGGCCAACGTGAGATGCCTGGTGAATTGGCTGATGCTCTTCTTTTCTCTGGCTGTAGAAAAGAGCATCTAGTCACCAGGAGCAAGTCACACTGTCAAGATCTGAGGCGTGACTCCTGGCTTTTTTCTTTCCTTTTGTTCCTTGGGCCACTGACTTCAGTCTTCAGGCCTGTTAACACTCTAATACATCTATTTCCCTTACTTTCTGGCTCCAGGACCCCAAGGGCAATGGCAGGTGGTCACAAGGTGGGGGGGGGGGGCACAGACAGATCCCGATGTGGAGCCAAGCTGCCTACCTACTGGTTCAGACCAGCAACTTGACCTTTCTAAGCCTCGGTTTCCTCATCTTTTATGTGGGATTGGTGGTAATTCTCATAGGAATGGTTTTAAAGGAATAGTTATTCAAAAACTTAGTGTGTGGCTTGGCATATAATGGAGGCTTAACAAATGGTACCTGTTACTTTTACCAACTCCGTCATCACCACCACCACCCTGACCTCTGTCAGCATCATGAACACTGCTGTCAGGAATGTGGACAGATGTGCGTTCTGAAGCCAGACTAGCCCTCTCTGGGGGGGGGGGAAAGAGAAGGGTAGAGGTTGAAAGTAAGAAATGAAGAGGGGAAGGGAGCGGTTGGCATGTGGCCATTTCAAAGAAGTCTAAGCCTTGGGACTTCCCTGGCATCCAGTGGTTAAGACTTCGCCTTCCAATGTAGGGGTGCGGGTTCAATCCCTAGTCCCCCTCATCAGGGACTAAGATACCACATGCCTTGCAGCCAAAAAACCAAAACTTAAAACAGAAACAATATTGTAACAAATTCAATCTAAAGACTTTAAAATGGTCCACACACACATACAAAAAAAAAAAAAGAAGAAGAAATCAAGCCTGAAGCAGGGGCTGAAATGTTGAACATGACCAATAGACCAGGTGGATCACCTGGCCCCCAGAGCCCCAGTTTCAGAACATGCTCTGTTGAGACTTTATTCAGACTCACGTCCTACATCTTGGCTGAGATAGTCTGAAATTGGCAGAATATTTTGGGAATGGCTCTGGAGTTCTGGCGCCAGGCAGACAAGGGTCTAAATCCCAGATCTAATTGACCAATTGAGTGAACTTAGATAAGTCACTTAATTTCTCTAAGCCTCAACTTCCTCCTCTGAAAAGTGGGTATAGCAGCTGCTACCCAAGACAGTCTCTGGGTGGGGTAAATGGGATAACAGCTCTCCAGTGCCCCGTGCTCTGCTGGGCACATAGGAGGTCCTCATTTTTCAGTGGTTTCTTCCCTACTGCCCACCCTACTGATCCATCTCCTGCTACAAAAGGACCGGGCCTCAGAGCACTGGGGCCAGAATGTCATGCTTTGTCCCTCAGAGCCCTGGGCTTCCTGAGGAGAAGCCCTGGGAGGAAAGTGGAGACCGACAGTCTGAGTAGCTGGGTGAGTTTAACCCTGGGTGCACACGACTTTGCCACGATTCTCTGCTCACCTGGAGGCCCAGTTTCCACATCTGTAAATTGAAGGTAGTAATACTTTTAAGGTTGTTGTGAGGATGGAATAGACATTGCATGGAGCACAGTACCTGGAACACAGCCGGGAATATTATCTTCCTCATATTATCATCACTGAATATTTCCCAGTTTCTGCACTTTCTTACTGTGGGCGGGTCAGAGAGTGTTTGGTTTCCAAGGTTACTGCATCTCAGCCAAAGGCCAATGGCAGGAGGAGCATGGTCTGGCCTGGCCACCTCCAGCTGCACCAGGCCAAGAAGCTGGCATTTTGCTTTGATCATGCTCGCAGCCTAGGCTGACGTGGTATGTATCCCGTGAGTCACCTCACGGCGTCAGAACCCGTTAAGCTCACCCCAGGCTACCGGACATATGGAGAACTCTCTCTGGAGCTCAGACTTGTCTCATTCCACCAGGAATTCTCCCAGGGATTTGTTGCTGCCCATTTTGCCAAGGGCTCCCTCTAGTTTCTGCAGTGTTCTGGGTGATATCTTCCTGGTCAGAGACTGGAGCCTCTGGCCTCTTTGCTCCAGTGTTTGTTTACCTTCAGCTGCCAGTCTGCCTTCAGCTGCCCCCAGGGTGTGGGGTGGGGGTGGCTCGGGGTCACAAATAATGACCCTCTCTGATTATCTCTGTGAAGTGAAGTGAGACTGGGGACAATCCAGTGAGGTCGTATTTGGGAAAGTCCCAGGTGACCTTTAATGGTGGCTAAGACTCCGAGCTCCCAATGCAGGTGGCCTGGGTTCAATCCCTGGTCAGGGAACTAGATCCCACACACTGCAGCTAAGTCCTGGTGCAGCCAAATAAAAAACAACAACAACAACAACAAAAAATCCGACTCAATCATATATAACTTTGGGCACTAGTTACATATCTCTCCCTCTCTGCTTTCAATTTCCTTAGCTATAAAAGGAAGGGTTTGGGGTGATTGGCATTCCCCAGAGTGGTGATTCATGAAAGAAAGGATTCTGTGTTGAAATCAGTTTGGTAAAGACTGCAGCTGATCTTCCTCATAGCCTGTCACAACATGTGCTTGTGTATCAAAGGCATGGAGAATTCTGCAAGGAACAAGCCTATTTAGCTTTTAAAAAATATTTATTTATTTTAATTTTATTATTTATTTGCCTGCACTGGGTCTTAGTTGCGGCATGTGGGGTCTAATTCCCAGACCAGGGATCAAACCCGAGTCCCCTGCATTGGGAGCACAGTCTTAGCCACTGGGCCACCAGGGAAGTCCCCTATTTAGATTTGATGAACCAGATTTTACTGATTTGAACACAGAACCTCATGATTATGATTGTGACTAGTGCTATAACTTTCATTATATTATGATTATTTGTTTAATTGCCCTGGTGTTCCTACCACAAGACACCCCTTGAGAAATGGCCAGGTGACAGATGAATGACGACCCTTGCAACTCTGACCGACATTGATCCACACACTCTGAGGGGCAGGCCCAAGGCTGGACAGGGGTCTTGGGGTTCATGCTCCACCTCTGTGTCCCCCAGGTGCCTTCCTGATCCCGTACACCCTGTTCCTCATCATCGCTGGGATGCCTCTGTTCTACATGGAGCTGGCTCTGGGCCAGTACAACCGGGAAGGGGCAGCCACCGTGTGGAAGATCTGCCCATTCTTCAAAGGTAAAGAAGGAGTCAGAGGTTGTTCTAAAAGACTTCTCTGTGCCCCCTGGAGAATCTACCCTAAAGGTGGGATCCTCGCTAGACCAGCTTTCTTGTGGAATTTATAAGTATTGGCAAGGTCAAGCACATCCACCATTCAAAGTTACATGGAGCACTTTGGAGATGTCAGGAATAGCTTTAGCCTAGAAAGTCTGGAAATCTGGGTTCCAGTCCAAGCTGTGCAGCTGAGTGACCAGAGGGAGTATGTTTTCCTGTCTGGGAAATACTCATGAAGTGTTAGAGGTACCCAGAACACTTCTGTCTCCCTCTTGCTCCCCAGACAGACTGATAAATCAATCATGCACCTTTCCACCCTGGGCAAGGGGCTTCATTCCACTGGGAGAGAATGTTATCGTGTCTCATTGTTATTCTACCCAAGGGGCGAGGGAGCTGGGATACTTGTGCTCCAACACATGGCCTAGCTGCTCCCTGGGAGTAGTAAAATCCTGACATTTCTGTCCTGCCAGGTGAGTGAACAGAAAGGGCTCCAGTGGCAAGAAAGAGCCCTCAGGCAAAGGGATGGTGGTTGCCTGGGGAAATTTTTTTAAAACAGTTTGTTTAATGTTGGAGTATAGCTGGTTAACAATGTAGTGATGGTTTCAGGTGGACAGAGAAGGGGCTCAGCCATACATGTACATGGATCCATTCTCCAAACTCACGTGTCATCCGGGCTACCAGTAACATTGAGCAGAGTTCCCTGTGCTGTACAGTCGGGCCTTCTTGGTTATCCATCTTAAATATAGCAGGGTATACATGTCGATCCCAAACTCCCTAACTGTCTCCCACCCCCCTCCCCCCACTGCATTCTTATGCCTGGGGGACTTAGGCTCGGACGGTCTGCTACAGAAAAAAAGACAGGCATAGGGGTGGGTAGTGCAATGGTTGGAGCCAGCTTCCCCAGAGTCGTGGCTCTGGGAGGGAGAGGGGGCCCGGGGAAGCCCCCGCCTGACCGCTATGCCGCCCGCCCAGGAGTTGGCTACGCTGTGATCCTCATCGCCCTCTACGTTGGCTTCTACTACAACGTCATTATCGCCTGGTCCCTCTACTACCTCTTCTCCTCTTTCACCCTGACGCTGCCGTGGACCGACTGCGGCCACGCCTGGAACAGCCCCAACTGCACCGACCCCAAGCTCCTCAACAGCTCCGTGCTGGGCAACCACACCAAGTATTCCAAGTACAAGTTCACACCTGCAGCAGAGTTTTATGAGTAAGTCCTTTACTCCTCGTCCTATTCACACGGGGACCTATGCTGTTCACATCGAGCACATGTACTGGGCAGAACCTGAGCCAGACACTAAAGAAGACCACTGGAGAGGAAGGGGCCACGTCAGTCCTTGTAATGTTCAGCAGGCACCACAGGCCTGAGGTTGGCTAGGTACACAGGTTATTTAGTTGCAGCATGCAAACTCTTAGTTGTGGCATGTGGGATCTAGTTCCCTGACCACTGATCAAACGTGGGCCCTTTGCAGCAGGAGCTCGGCATCTTAGCCACTGGACCACCAGGGAAGTCCCACAAATGAGAATTATTTTTATAGTGTAGGTCCAAAGTGATTTCTAGTCTCATCATTCCCTCTAGATTAATTGAAGGGAAAAGTTGTCCCTTTCCCCTAATTTATCCATTCATTCATTTACTCATTTCTGTCTGTATGAGCTCATTGGAGTTTATTTTATTCTGTGGTTTAACCCATAACCGTCATTATTTATTTTATTGCTTCCTTGAATGCCCTCAACTGCTACTCCATCCTTTCAAGTCCTTGAGCTTGGTGATAGTCAACTTGTCAGCCATCTAATTTTGAAAGTTTGCATGGTGGTCCCTTCAGAATGTAGCATCTATTGTCTTTATCCCTCAGGGATGGGGGTGAGCCCAGTTTTAGCAATCCCTACACAAGTGTCAGCAGGTAAGCAGAAAGTCCCTGGCCCAAGGTGTGGGGCAAGACAGGTAAATCCCACTCGAACCTCACTCTCAAGGGGCACATGGTCTAGAGTAGTGGTTGCAAAACTTTCTAGTAAAAGATTTCATTTTGGGCCTTGCAGGCCACATACCTATCTTGCATATGCTTTGTTTAATTTTACCCTTTAAAAAGATGGAAACCATCTGTAGCTCACAGGCATCACTCAACGGGTCACAGCCGAGTTTCAGGGTGTGTGGCTTGTTGACTCCTGGTCTAAAGTAGTGATCCCGGGGAGAATGCCCATGATGATAGAAATGTTTTGTGTTTGCACGGCCCAGTGCAGTAGCCACATGCCACGTGTGGTTAGTAAGTAGTTGAGATGTGGCTAGTGTGATGGAAAAGTTGAATTTTAAATTTTATTTAATTTTCATTCATTTACATTTTAAAATATTTGTTTGTTTATTTGGCTGTATCAGGTCTTAGTTCTGTGTCATGCAGGATTTTTTGTTGCGGTGGGTGGATTCTCTAGTTGTAGTGCTGGGGCTCAGAAGTTGTGGCATGTGGACTTAGCTGATCCATGGCAATCGATGTCTGAGTTCCCTGACCAGGGATTGAACCTACATCCCCTTCATTACATGGCGATTCTTAACCAGGAAATTTCCTTCATTTATGTTTAAATAGCCAGTTGCTTCCATATTGGACAGTGCAGGTCTGGAGAATGAAAAAAGACAAGTTCACAAATTCAGGGCTAGTCTTCTCTGGTCCTGTGTATTCGCTAAGCCACAGACCAGGGAATGGGGTTATCCAGAGAATGGGGTTCGTTAGGACTATTCCCACCTTTGCCATCTCGGTGCAGTCAGACCAAGGAGATTTAATGTAGTTAAAGGTGGCCTCTGGGAAGTCTGCTGCCTCCTGGGGTCCAGGGGAGGGGAGTCGGGGTTCTCAGGACCCAGGAACTACCCTCCATGAGCCATGGCCAAGAATTTGCTAAGCATCCTGGACCTGCATGTCCACCTGCCTCCATCTGTGCTTCCTGTGGACTTTCAGGACCTAGTGCACAATTATATATATTTGGAAACTCAGTGGGGAGAGGGTTCACAGTTGTCATGGAACTTGAAATCCTTCTACAGCCCCCAAAGGATCTGAAGAACCACTATTACTTGAAGTGAGCATCTATTTAAATTAATACCACCATCCCTGTCTTCCTCTCCATCACATCAACAGCTAATCACTTACCGTGTGCATCAGGCTTTCTGCTAACTTCTCTCTGTGTGTATTATATCAATTAAGCCTCACACCAACCCAGTGAGGTTTCTGTAACTCTTCCATGCATGACTCGGCTGCAAACATTAGCTTCATTTTGCAGATGCAACAGTAAATCACTGGCCCATGGGCACACAGCTAGTCCCGTGCAGAGCCAAGATTTGGACCCTGGCAGATGGCACCTGCTGGGCTCTTGAGAGTGAGCTCCTCCTCACCCTTTGTTCCATGATCCTTGCTCTCTTCACCCTAGGCCCTGCCTTCCCAGGCAGTGAAACTCTAGAGCCTGCAGGCTTCACCTCTGTGTTATATTGGATTCCAACCATTTTGAATGGCTATTATGATACCAAATTATTATCAAATTATGATATCAAATCATCATGAAAACTAACATTTATCCAGCTTTGATTATGTCCCAGCCATGCATTTAGAAGTGCCATTTGAAGTGAGTTTGAACCTAGGAAGTCCGGCTTCAAAGTCCAAGCTCTTAGCCCAGTGATGCTGAACACTGGCTGCTCTTTGGAACCACCTGGAGAGCCTTAAAACACACTGATGCCTGGATCCTATGCCTCGAGATTCATTTTATTGGTCCAGGTGCAACTGTGGTGCGGGGACTTTATTAACAGTTCCTCCAGTGAATCTAATATCCAGCCAAGGTTGACAGCCCCTGTCTTGGACACTGCACTCTCCCATCTCAGACAGAAGGAAATTCTTACTGGGGTCAGTCTGATGTGCTTCCAGTATCATGTCATGGAAAATCTAGGGCCTCCTTTAGTCTTCTGAGGGGGTGTGGCCTCAGACAATCCCAGAACCACGGGAGAGCTTGCTGGCAGAGGTTTTAGGTCTTCCCAGTTTATGAGTGCAGTTTGGACTGGGAGATGGTAGAGGATAGTGCAGTTGAGGGTGCTGCTGATACATGTAATTGGTTCTGGGCTTTCTCCTTTATCATCTCATGATAGGGGAAAATCCATGATTTTTCTTCTTGTTTTTGGCAACCCTCGTCCTTATAAATTAAAATGGAAAGCGATAGCCTCATGTCTAGCCTGGTTATTATTTGATTCCTCCTCTGACATCTTCATGGCCAGCGGATCTGCTGCTGGAGAAAGGAGAGGTGAGTTGGGTTTTGAGGCTCTGCTTGCTTTAATTACAGCCTTAAACTTCCTCCAAGCTTGGCTGTGAAAAGGCTGATTCTCTTGGGGGATGTCATTGAAGGCAGAGTCCACGGCTTATTTTCAGCAGCTTTTTGCTCTACAGAGCTACAGAGCTCCCTTCCCATCCTCTCCTCCCCCTTCCCTCCCCTCCTCCATCCTTTTAAGTGCCCCCACCTCCACCCCAAGTCTGGTATCTACTGTGATCTGGGCATCAGCGTCTCCTCCTGTCCACGTCCCATTTAGTCTTCACAGTTCGTGGAGGTGGAAATTACTCCTGTTTTACAGATAAGAATGTAGTGGTTCAGGTTTTAGGGAAGTGGCGGAAGGGGTCTGAATCCAGGCTGTCTGGGTGGAGGCTCTTACTCCATCCATGAGCCTCTCCTCTGTCTTCTTCTCCAGTGGGGTGAAGAAGTCCCTTCAGAGTCTCCAGTGGGGTGTATTCAGGACAGGAGTGCAGAGGTGTCTGTGGGTATATCGGAGCCCTTCTCATGCATCTTTCTCACCTTCAGGCTGCTTTTGTGTGCTTCTCAGTATCTGAGTCATGAGCTGCCTCTGGGATTTGTTTGTAATGGCCCTTTAATCTAAATGCTTCTGCTTTAAAAGTTACTCACTTTCAGTTTGGGAACCCAGCAAGTAGGAGTCCCAGTGCCAACCCTGAGGAGGTTAGCTGGGTTTTTTTTTGCTTTTCTTGGAGGCTGCTGGCCAGTTCTCTTACCATCTTGTGCTCCTTTAAGCTGATGAACTGAACACATCATTTAAGGGAACAAAACTGCAATACTCCCCAGGCTCCAGGCCTGAAGCCAAACAGCCCGAGGCAAAAAGAAACCCTGATGCTCTGTAACTCTATCTGTAAAAGGACACCCTTGGTGAACACGCACCAGGAATAGGAAACTTCTACTCCCTGCCTGTTCCTGGTGAGGGAAAGACCTCTCCCTCCACCCCAGCACTAACCCTCTGCGCTTAAATGTCAAGTGAGATCTGAGTCCGTTTGGCCCACAGACTTTGGAAAGTCTGGAACATATACCTAACGATGATTCATTTTCATTAAACTGCTGGAAAACTGCAACAAACCCAAGTTATTTGTCCTAACCCCCAAGGCTTGGGGCCACTAGTGGGGAGGAGGCTGGATTCACTTTTCTTGGAAATCAGCTCTGGAGTCTAGCTTTTTTCACTGATGAAATATCTAGACAACCACTGCAAACCTTAAAGCGGACCTTGCACACATGTAGGTCACCTGGTTGGTTAGGGGGCATGTCAGCCATCTGATGGGATGCTGGAGTCGTTTTAGCATGTTTCAGGGCAAGCACAATTGGTTCAGAGCCCCACCCCCGCAACTTTTTTTTTCAGTCAAATTGGCCAAACGCTCACTCATACCATTTAACACTTGATTGTATGTAAAGCAATGGGAAGAAGCAGGATTAAGAGTCAGATGGGTTCAGTACCTGATTCTAGTTCTCTGTCTTTTTAGATATGCCCAGACTCTCTTCTTCCCTTCCTTTCACTTCCCTTCTCCACTTCCTCCTCTTCCTCCTCCTTTTCTTCTTCTTGCTCTTCCTCCCTCCCTCCCTTCCTCCCTCTCTCTGTCTCATTTTCTCCCCCGCCTTTCTCTCTCCCTCTCTGTTTCCTCCTTTCTCTTTCTCTCTCCCTCTCCCTCCTTCTCAGGACAGGAGAGTGGGCCTCAGCTAGGGCATCAGTTTAGAGCTGAGACTAGCAGGGAGAGAAGTTTGCCAGGCAGACACATTGGGCCAGGATGTGTGTTCTAGGCAGAAAGGAACAGATAGTTTCAAGGCCCAGAGCGATGAGAGCGTCATATAACTGGGAGATGACAAGTGGCTGGCGGTCACAAGGAGCCAAAAGCAGGATGTTGCAAGGCAGGGGGATGCACTTGGCACAGGACAATTCTGAAAGGCCTCAGATTCTGAAAGGCTTTTGTTTTTTTTATCCTCTTAACCAGGATTTCACAACCTTGATGCTTTTGACATCTGGGGCTGGATAATTCCATGTTGCAGAGGGTTGGCTCTCCTGTGCATTTTTGATGTCTAGCTTATCTCTGGCCTCTGCCCACTAGATACCAGTAACACCCACCCTGCCCTCCAGCTATGACAGCCAAAAATGTCCCCAGATGTTGCCAAGTGTCGGGGGAAGGCAGGGGCAAATTTGCACCCAGTGAGAACCATTGTTTTAGGTAATAAAGAGCTTATGAGGATTGGGGGGCAGGAGAGTGACAAGGTTAGAACACAACTTGAGATGGATCAGATGGTTCTACAGCAGCACAGACTGTGGATTTAAGGCGGCTGACTGGAGAGACTGGGATGATGGGAAATGGGGAGGTTTTTACAGCAGTCCTGGAAGAAGCGAATATGGGTCTGGCTTGACATTGGGCCATGAGGATAGGATGTTGGTAGCAGATCAAGAGATAAGATTAGGAGAGACCAGACATGGAGACTCATGGCTGGGGACACTGATGGAAGGATGAGTAGCTTAACAGCCATGACATCCTGCCCTGGGGCGGTCAGGATGAAGGCTGTTCTGGGGATGGGAACACAGGTCTTGGTGACCCTTGATCACCCACACAGCTCGGCTCACTCACTGCAGACTTCTCTGTATGCCTGTCAACACCCCACCTTCCCCATCTCACTCCTGCCACACCCAAGCACCCTGGCTCCACTCACCTGCTCTCCCATGGGTCCGCAGAGAAGGCACCAGACACCCCCCTCTGTGGAGCCTGCCCTGCTGACTCCCTTGGCTGAATTTTCTGGCCCCGCCTCAGCTTCTTTGCTGATGCCTGCTGTTCCCATGGAGGCTGGGACTCAATCAGATTGGTAGTTCCAGTGATCATTGATATTGAGCATTTTCTGAGTTCTAGCAATGTAAACCTCATGAGAGCCCTTTTGCTATAGAGGGAAAAAAAGCTCAAGATAGGGAACGTTTGCACCAGCTATTGTCACCCAGGAGTGTCCTACATGGCTGGAGCCATCACCTCCTTGTCCACAGCCTCGTCACCAGCCCCCCAGCAGCCCTCTTCCAGTTTTGACTTCTTTCTCATGAAATTATGTGTGTGAGATTCATCCAGACAGAGCTAGTTGCTGTATAATGTTCTACTTTATATGTCATGATTTATCTAGTCTACTGTTGATAGATATTTGCGTATTTTGCAATTTGAAGTTGTTATGAACAATGCTGCTGTGAACATTCTACACCATGTCTTTTGATGAACATGTGCATATGTTTCTATTGGACAGATACCCAGGAGTAGAATTGCTAAGGCAGAGGACACACATGCGTTTAGTTTGAGTAAAATAGGAGAAATGTTTACTTCTTGGTCTCCAGGCCAGGGATTCTTAAGCTCAGCAACATAGGAATTTTGGAGGCTGTTTTGTGCTGTATAGGATGTTTATGTTGTCCTGTGCATTATAGGATGTTCCACTTCTCTTTCCTCTAGATCAGTGGATCCCAACCTCTGAGATCTAATGCCTGATGATCTGAGGTAGAGCTGACATAATAATAATAGAAATAAAGTGTGAAATAAATATAATGCACTTGAACTCACGGAAAGACTGTCTTCATGAAACTGGTCCCTGGTGCCAAAAAGGTTGGGGACCGCTGGTCTAGATGCCTTCTGCCCAAGTTGTGACAACCAAAGATCTCCAGACATTGCCAGATGTTCCAGTATCCCCTGCTGTAGCCTGTGAGTGCTGTGAGGACAGAGACCTTTCCTCTGTTTATTCACCACCATCTCTCCAGGACCTGGCAAGCAGAGATATTTATTATGTTGAAAACTTCTGTAGCTATTTAAAAAACAGCCTTGGGTGGGAGTGTCTCCCGAGAACACTTGCTGGCTGGAGCAGGGCAGTGCTAGGCACAGTGGCTGCACAGAGCAGGTCCAGGTGATTCGGGGCAGGAACTGGGGCCGCCTGGGCCCGTCTCCATCGATGTGCAGTTTCAGGGACTGGCTGTGGTCAAGGCTGAGGTCATTCTCCCTGATGATACCATCTTCCCCGGCAGGCGTGGTGTCCTGCATCTGCATGAGAGCAGTGGGATTCATGACATTGGCCTGCCCCAGTGGCAGCTTTTGCTCTGTCTGATCGTCGTTGTCATCGTCCTGTTTTTTAGCCTCTGGAAAGGAGTGAAGACATCAGGAAAGGTAATGTCTTTGTTTCTCTTTTAGTTGGGAGGTTGGCCTAAAAAAAAAAAAAGATGTTTTTTTCCTACCTGTAATTCAGGTAGTTGGGGAAAGGAAAAGGTGATGCTAGAAGAACAAAGTCTGAGTTTTCACCCCAGCTCTGCCACCAGCTTGCTGGAGACCTCAGACAAATCCCTCCCCTTTTCTAAGCCTGGGACTCTCCAACAGTAGGGTGAGGGGGTGTGAGTGGATCAGGGTTCTTCACACTTTCCCACCAAAGCTTCCCTAATAGCAGAGACCAGGGAATGAGGACACCCAAAGCCCAAAGCAACCTATTGACATGTCTTTGATAAATCTTAAATTCTGGGGGACTAAAATTGCATGCCAGTGTTGCAGCCTTCTCTATAATATAACCGTTTCCTTCGCTATAAAATTGATCATTCTCACTCCTGAATTTTTGAGTCAAAGAGAATGCTCTAGAAGATATTTGGATGAATCCTGGCGCATCCTCTGACACAGTGCTGAGTCCTCACAAGCAAACGTTTAGGTTTCCTGGGGAGAGGAGTACAGAGTTAGATGACCTAGGACAGCTTGCCAGAGTTGGTGTTCTGACTTAGGTGACACTGCTCCCCATAGCCAGCCCCTCAGGGTGGAATATAATCAGGTCATCACCCACATCGATTCTAAGCCTGAGAAACATCATGAGAACAACAACTCCATTTGGACCCTATGGGTCTATGTAGAGCTTGATTGTATTAAAGAGTCTGTAGCTGGGAAATATTCTATCCAGTGTTTCGGTTGGCTCTTGTTGCGTAATAAAAGAGCTCAAGATTTCATGATGGAAAAATAACAATCATTTTATTGTCTCTCATGTTTCTTTGAGTTGACTAGGCTCAGCAAAATGGTTTTTTTTCTCCATATGATATTTCTTGGGCTACATGTCTGGGGGCATGACTGGGCTGGAACCTTTGAGATGGCACGTACTCACTGAGGGCAGTTGGTACTGGTTAGGAGCTCAACTGGAGCTGTCAACCAGAGCACCTTGGGTTGTTTCCACATAGTTTTGCTGTGTGTCTTAGGCTTCTCACAGCATAGTGGCTGAGTTCCAAGAGCATGTTCCAAGGAAACAAACCCTAATGGGCAAGCAGCTCTTCCAGTCTCTCTTTACATCACGCTTGCTATTGTCCCAGGGGCCAAAATAAGTCTTGTGGTAAAGCCCAGAGTCAATGTGGAACACATGGAGTGTGTGTTCATTGCGAGTTACAAGGCAACAACCTATCATAGTCAGGCAGCCTGAATGTATGAGAAGCTTCATTAGGCAACTGATTTTGAAAAGTGGGATGCATCAGGGATCTCTCTGGTTCTCCTAGAGTCTTGGTTAAGTGATGGATAGCAGAGATGGTGGCAAGGCACCAGCAGCTAATGAGATTGAAGTCTGTCAAGAAGAGCTTGAAGTGGAACTCCCTCTTAGAATGTTGGAGACATGGTTTCTGCTCCAAGGAAGAACCCAAATGAAATGCAGACCAGGGCGTGGAGGAATTCTAAGATAGAGCAGAACCAGGATTAGACCACAACCATCCCAATACCTGACACATAGTAGGTCTTCAGTAAATATTTATTGAAGAACTAATGAGGGAAGAAGGGAAGGTAGGAAGAAGGGTAGGTGGGTAAATGAGTTTGGGGAACCTCACTAAGTGTTCTTTTGAATCCACTTCAACTTTTTAAGCTGGAGAAGGAAATGGCAACCCACTCCAGTATTCTCGCCTGGAGAATCCCGTGGACGGGGGAGCCTGGTGGGCTGCTGTCCATGGGGTCGCACAGAGTCGGACACAACTGAAGTGACTTAGCATGCAACTTTTTAAGCATTTATGGATACCTCTTATGTGCCAGGCTTGGTGCTAGTACTAGTGATACAAGAGTAAATAAGACAGATTCAATTGATTGTAGTATTATGTGTATTACAGGCAGGTGTAGGTCAATCACATTTGTTCTTGCATCCCCATCCAGAGACACATGTGTGTCTCCATTTCAAAAAAATCATCACAAACTATACATACTATTACAAATCTTGCTTTTTTAAAAAACTTAACTTTCTTTACCTTGAAGATAATTTTTCAACAGGTAGTCAGGTTGCACTTTGAGATACAAACTTTGGGTTTTTCAACTGTCATTTAATCAATTTAGGGGGTCACCACAGTTTTTCAAGATGAAATTGTCTAGATAATAACAGTGTACACTTCCTGTAGTAAAGTAAGAGCTGTCTTGTGGAATTTGTAATTCAGTTATAGCAATCCATGTGTCTTAGTATGTAAGGTTTTTCTTACCATGGTTCTTATGGTCCAAAAAGCTGCATTAGTGGCAGAAGGACGTTCATCAGACTGAGAGGGTCTGCAAAGACCATGCAGAAGGTGGCATTTGGGATAGAACTCAAAGGACAGGGGCAGGTGAAGATGGAGCAGAAGGAAGGCGTTGTCAATGGAAGGAACTGCAAGCGAAGCCACAGAAGCCCCAGGCCAGCCTCATCCAGCCCCTTCGTGCCTCTCCTGGGGGTCCGCAGCAGGGCTCTTCTTGCCTCTACAGAAAACAGAGCTGCAGCAGGTGTGTGAGGTTTACTGCTGCTGCCAGCATGTGTGAGGGGCCGCCACGCACTTCTAATACTGCACCCCCAAATTAAGTTTCCTGTTGCCTTTACTGAAGGGGTACAGCCTGCCCCACCTGGTTTAGCACTTGGCTGGAGCAGGCAGGAGTTGTCTCTGAGGGGACTGATGCTAAAGAGAAAAGGAGTGGAGCTGAGCAAGCTCCGTTCCTTTGTACAAAGGCACCTTCAGAGGAGGACTCATCCCCTCCCCTGAGGAGTGTAGTGAGGGGCCTGGCAGGGCAGGGGTGTTGCCCTAGGAAGCCCCGCCCCCGATGAAGATATGTCACCCAAAGTCCCCACCCACATTTTGCTCAAGTCCTCCAGTGTTCTGGTTGCTGAGCAGGCAAGGGGCCCTGCAGTCCATTGAGGGGCTTTCTAGAATAAGGAGCTTCACACAGGACTCTTTGTTTTTGTACTTTGGCTCATGAGAAAACCGCAAGTGTTGCTTATTTCTTCCCAGACTATACCTAGAATAGGACATGGGCCTTCCCTTAGCAGGCTGTCCCAGCCACAGAACTGGCCTGGGATGAATTGCAAATGTTCACACTTTCTGTCTTGGCTGGTGAAGGCTCTGTTTGGGAAGATGCATGTCTTCACAGCTGGCACCTGGGATGGCAAGGGGCGGATACAGTCTGATCCAGGGAACAGGGTTACCGCAGACCACACACTCTGTGACCCTGGCTCACTGACCACCGCAGGGTGGAGGGTGGAGATTTGAGTCAGGAGTCAGTTAGCCCCCAGGGCGTCAGGCAACCATGTCAAACAGAGTGCTGTTTGCTGCCCTGGAGTCCTGTCTGTCTGCCTCCTCCAACTCATAGTCCTTGGCTGAACCAGCCTTAGCAACTACAAGCCTGTACTGAACATCTAAATGCTGACCTAGAAGGTTCTCCAAGACCATCTACTCCAGGTGCTTGTACAAATGGGGACGCTGAGGCCAAGAGACGGACAGGGTTTCATAGGAGTCTTGACAGAAAAGACTTGAACCTGGGGCTCAAACATACAGTAGCAAACACGGCTTTGTGGTCAGATGCCCTGTGTTGGAGTCCAGACACCATCATTCCCTACTGGGTGACCTCAGGATGAATGATGCCCCCTAAGCTTCAGTGTCCTCACCTGCAAAGTGAGGCCCATTAATGGTCCTGCCAGCCTCCAGGGCAGTTGGGAGGATGGGGTGAGAGGTCCTTGGTGCTGGGCTAACAGATGGAAATTGCTTCATAAATGTTCCTCATCTGTCTTTGTCCCCTGCAACCTGGGAGAGCTTAGAAAAAAATTATTTATATATATATTTATTTATTTGGCTATGCCAAGTCTTAATTGCAGCATGCAGGATCCTTAGTTGCAGCATTGTACTCTTAGTTGCAGCATGTGAGGTCTAGTTTCCCGACCAGGGATCGAACCCAGGCCCCCTGCATTGGGAGCATGGAGTCTTAGCCACTAGACCACTAGGAAAGTGCCAGGGGGAGCTTTTAAAGCACGAAGTGCAGGACCCATTCCAAACCAATCCAATCAGAAACTCCAAAAATGGAATCTGAACTTTGACATTTTTAATCTATAATTTCCCCCAGAGTATTTTCATGTGTAGTCAGGGGTGAGAAGGAACAAAAAGGAAGCCACACAACCTTCTCCTCACCACGCTTCTCTGTTTTTCATCTTGGGCAAGATTGGCAGGTGTCTCTTCTTAGTCTGGGGACAGCCTCTTTGCTTACAGGTTTCTGGACAGGGCAGTTTGTATTTGCCCTAAATTGTATTTGCCCAAAAGAAAGAACTGCTACAGATGGGACTTTCTGCCCAACCACATCCCTCCTTGGGCAGTGAGCTTAGGAGGATACGCTTGAATGAAGGTAAACAAGGCAGAAAGAGAGGAGGGACAATGGAGGGCATACAGGTGGGGGTGCCTGGTTCTACCTGGGGGTCAGTACAGGCAGCTTGTAGAAGAGGAGGCCTTGGGCCCTGCGAGAACCTAGTCTTCTTTCTTGCTGCCCTTAGCTTCCTCGGTGGCAGCACCGCCGGTGCGCTGACTTTCTCCTAGGTGCGGCCTTAGTCTGTCCACACTGTCCTGGAGTGCCCCAGGTCTGACCTAGTGACGGAGACTTCAGCATGTGCACTGTGGGAAGGAGGTGGAGGGAGGGTGTGACTGGCTCCCTCACTCCAGCCCTGCACCACGCGGGCGGCGGAGCCAGGCTCTCACGGCGAGCTTGTCCACTGCCAGGTCGTGTGGATCACGGCCACGCTGCCTTACCTCGTGCTGTTCGTGCTCCTGGTCCATGGCATCACGCTGCCCGGCGCCTCCAACGGCATCAACGCCTACCTGCACATCGACTTCTACCGCCTAAAAGAGGCCACGGTCAGTGCCCAGCCACCACCCACCCTTGGGCCAGGCTGTGGAGGGTTCTCAGTGCTCTATGTGGCCTGGGATGGATCCTCCCCACTCTGAGCAGCAGTGTCTCCATCTGACCAAAGACTGGTTTCATCTGCACCCAACAGTACCCGTGAGCCTGTCCAGCTCTGATGATCTGGAATCTGTGGTTCTAAGTGGCCTTTGCAGACCCCCTCTTTTCAAAGACAGCACTATCCTGTCCTGGGTTCTTATCCCCGCCCAGTGTCATGACCCACTAACCCACTCCAACACCCCAGACCTGTTTCTACTCTGGTCTCCAACCCTGGCCTCTGGTAACGTCTGTGATGTCAGCATAAGGAGCAGCATCAGCCACAGGGAGACCCATACCCTACTGACTGTCTCTCCTCACATCTCCTTCAGCTCACTGTCCTGCCTGGAGATTATACAATTGGGGTGAATTTGGAGTGGAGTCCAAAACAGCGGGGTGAGGCCAGGAGCAGAGATATCTTGGAGGTTCCTAGTGCCTTGAGCATCTTCAGATCACAGCTGAGATGATTTCCAACCTCCTTCCTCATTGCACCTCAGTGACAGCACCTCAGCATGCTCCCCTCAGAATCCCCAAAGGTGTCCCCATACTCTTTTTGAACCCACAATATCCTGGCAGGGAGGACCAGCAGAGGTTTAGGAGGGACACAGCTCCCATTGTCCAGGCATACCTCAGTGTTATAGTCCAATAACCAGGAGAAAAACACACTTCCTTCGTAACTGACAGAAAAATAACAGCATAAGAAACAAATCAGCCTTGTAAATTGTGAAGCAAGTCAGAGTTCTATCTGTTCTGCACTGTTTCCATATGTCAAATCTTTCCAACAGTAGAAATAGCCTGAGTACCATCTGAAGGAGCAGCTCTGTCTTCCTCCATCAGACGGCTTCTCTTGTTATACCCTCTGCTTACAAAATGGGGAGGTGACAGAAGTCTCAGCTCTGATGGTGGCTTAGTCCTGGTGAGCTAGGTAAAATTATCCCCATTGTACAGACGAAGAAACTGAGATATAGACAGTGAAACTGACCAGGGCTAGGCCATGAGGCTGAGAAATTGGAGGAACTCAGATCTCCAGGCTTCCAGGCATGCAATTTCATCATCCATCAGATGAGGGGAGCAAGCCCCACTGGCCACCAACGAGTCCCCACTCTCTGTGGGTTGGTCAAGCTACTAGGAATCGTAACTCCTTCCTGAAGCTGTTGTCTCCATAACACCTGAGATAGTCATAACCCTTTGCCCTTGCCACATCCGCTTTCTTGCCTGGAGCATTTAGTTTATTAACTTTCAGTTTTTAACGTTCTTTGAAAATCAAAATATCAAATTCAGCCAGTGAGTTCCTCCAGGGTGAGCTTACTCATGACCACCCAAGGCTGTGCGATGCCAGAGAGACCCCAGCCTCTCTCCACAGTGATTTTGTGCAGGCTGCTGGGGAGCAGGAGTTGTGTGACTGCCCCATCTCTGGCTAGATCTCATTTCTTGGGTCTAAGAGCATCCCTGGGGCTTCTCAGCCCATCTGAAGCAGTGAGGTAGTCTAGTTCTCTGGGAGCAGAGGGTGATGGCCTTTATCTGCCCATTTTAGGTATGGATTGATGCTGCAACTCAGATATTCTTTTCCTTGGGGGCTGGATTTGGAGTCTTGATTGCATTTGCTAGTTACAACAAATTTGACAATAACTGCTACAGGTAAGATCCTTCCTGGGACTCCAGAAAGCTCTAAATCCTGGGGACCCTCACAGGGGTGGGAGAGAGGGTTCTGGTCTGGAACAAGTCAATTTTTCTTCTTGGGTTTCTTTCCCTGTGAGATGAGGCAGAGTAAAGATCATCCTGGATGTTCCATGAACTCTGACATGGCCTATGGGGGTCCTGGTGAACATATGTCACTTCAGGACAATTCTTAAACATGCAAGCTGAGGAACTGGCATAGTTGAGGCCATTAACCCTGGGAAATCATGGGAGTGCATAGCTGTGACAGAGGGACACTGTGTGGCTTTCAGGGCAGCCAGCACTGCCTGTCTGTCTGTCTGACACCTGGGGGGCAGACAAGGGCGGAATATCCAGCTGGTTGCTCGAGGGGTGAGGGCCCTGGCAGGGTCAGAACTTAAGACCACAGGGAAGAATAAGAAGCCTGCTCAGAAGACGGTGCTCCAGATCAGCTGGCTCTGTAAGCATTTAATGCTGCTTCCTGCAGGCCCAGTGCTGTGAAGCCTTCAGACAGGGGCATAGATGGGGACTGCTTTATCACTCTCTGTCAAAGGCTTAAGACAGAATCCCTGGTACAAGACAGAGTAGGATGAATGCATGCCAGTGGGACAGGCTATGGGGAGGCTAAGGAAATGGGGCAATAAGCCCTCTGATAGAGGATCAATGAGAACATAGAGGGTACATTTGAGGTGAGCCTTGGCAGAGTTAGGGTTGGGATAGGCAGACGTGGAGTGGGTGGATCACGAGCAGCCTGAGCAGAGCCAGGAGAGGTGATATGTTTGTGAACCAGCAAGTTGACTGGCTTGCTCAGAGAGTACGTGTTAGAGAGTCCCACGAAAGAAGGCTGGGAAGAAGCTGAGGTCATCTTAGCAAAGCTCTTGAATGCCTGGGTGAGAAGTTGAGAGGTACTGGGGAGCTACAGAAAGTTTGTTGAAGAAGGAGCCTGGTGATTCAGTCTCCCAACAAGAGTTTGATATCAGTTGCTGGTATCAAAGTGTTTTATCCAACATTTGTTGACCTATTTCCTACATCTACAGGCTCTGACCCAGGGATGGTGGGGCACTGGGGTCTGAGTGGCGTCAGGCAAACTGAAGAAGGGGATGGCATTTGAAGCCGTGGATTCCATAGATGGTCCCTGAGCAGAGTTGTGAAGAGTCAGACCACTTGAACTAACAGTGCTGCTTTTCCCCAGGGATGCCCTGCTGACCAGCACCATCAACTGTGTCACCAGCTTCATCTCCGGGTTCGCCATCTTCTCCATCCTTGGTTACATGGCCCATGAACACAAGGTCAACATTGAGGATGTTGCCACTGAAGGTGGGTGGGTAGTCCTGCCCGCTGAGAAAGAAGGGGCTGAGAAACTCACCCCTTTCTCAGCTGTGCAGTTCTCCTGTGGCTGCAGGACCGAGGGGAGCTGGGCATGGGGCTTTCCCTGTTGCTGCTGGATAGGCTTTCTTTGAGGCCATCAGTAGAAATTCCAGGCAGAATCTTCTGAATTAGGCCAGGCCAGATAGGTTTTTGGAGCACCCACTCTGTACCAGCCCCTGGGCTAAGCACTTGACATATCTTGGTTTAGTTGTGGCAGTGCTGCCAGGCAAGTCTTAATGGACCCACTTTAAAGATGAGAAAGCTGAAATTCAGCCTATTAAAGTTATTTCAGGTCGCCCAGCTAGTGAGTCATGGTGCCAGCGTTTGAGCCCTGACCAGTTCTGCAGTAGAGCCTATGCTTCCCCACTGCTTCTCATATTCTTTTTTTTTTTTTTTCTTCTCATATTCTTATGGCCACAAAGAGGCTGAGACCTGGGGAGGGGCTGCCTATGATGAACTCTGAAAACTCACAAAGTTCTGAGGATAAGAGGACCCCTCACGAGGTGTAGGAGGTGGGATTTGAGAACCATTGCCTGTAGCTGGCCAGGAGAAGGACTGCTCTCTGGCTTGGCTGTTTAAGGTCAGCCTCTTTGGCACATGTGTACCTGCTTGGTCACTCAATCGTGTCTGACTCTTTGGGACCCCATGGACTGTAGCCCACAAGGCTCCTTTGTCCGTGGAATTCTCCAGGCACGATTACTGGAGTGGATTGCCATTTCCTTCTCCAAAGGATCTTTCTAACCCAGGGATCAACCTTTGGCATACTGGTGATATGAAACTGATATCAAACTCTTAGGAAATCAAGTCATCAGCCTCCTTCTTCAACAAATTTTCCATGGCTCCCAAGCGCCTCTCAGCTTCTCACCTATGCATTCAAGAACTTTGTTAAGATGACCCCACCTTCTTTCCAGCCTTATTTTGGAGCTGGCTTCATCAGTCATATTTATTTGTTTATTTTCTTGGCCTCACCACATGGCATATGGGTTCTTAGTTCCCTGATCAGGTATTGAACCCACAGCCCTTTCACTGGAAGTGCAGAGTCTTAACCACTGGACTGCCAGGGAAGTCCCAGTCCATCGTCTTTAGAACCTTGGTTTGCTCTATCCACACATGACTGACCAAATATGATGGGGCTGGACTGGGGCTTATTGGGCCTCAAAATGCTCCCCTGTCATCTGCAGCTCAGACCCACAGCCCCAGCCATTGATGAGGTCCTTGATGTTTCTTCCAGGAGCTGGCCTAGTCTTCATCCTGTACCCAGAAGCCATTTCTACCCTCTCGGGATCCACATTCTGGGCCATCGTGTTCTTCGTCATGCTCCTGGCTCTGGGAATTGACAGCTCGGTGAGTGACCTTGTTCAGGATACCATCCGCCCCCAGAGACTAGCCTCTGACCCTCCCTCCCCAAATACACACACACTGCTAAGTCTCAGGCTTTCCCCCATTCAAAACCCTGATTAGTAGTTGTTTCCAGAAGGCCCTATTTAAATGCAAGCAAAGAAATCAGTACTCAGAAAGGCAATGAAGATGGCATGTGTGCTCACTTGTGTCCAACTCTTTGCGACTCCATGGGCTGTAGCCCGCCAGGCTCCTCTGTCCACGGAATTCTCTAGGCAAGAATACTGGAGTGGATTGCTGTGCCCTCCTCCAGGGGTCTTCCTGACCCAGGGATCAAACTGGCATCTCTTGCATCTCCAGCATTTGAGGCAGGTTTTCTTTTTGTCTCTGAGCTACCTGCCAGGAGCCAGGAGAAACCACCTTGGCACCGTGGAAATCTACATTAGAAGGGACCTGGGATAAGCCAGCCCAGTACTCTGCTTTTACAGATGGGGAGACTGAATTCAGAGTTTTGTAACTCCTGTTCTCTCACCAGCCATTCTTCCCGTGGTATTTCATCAGCATCCACTCAGGCTGAGTGAGTGGACAGGAGTCAGGTCCCTGTTGATAAGGGGGAGATAGGAGTTAACTCCTGGCCCCCTCTCACATGGTTTCTGAGTTCTGAGCTTGGCTGACAACAGGGCAGAAGTGGGGTGAGAGGACAGGGAGAAAGTCGAACCTGCCGATTTCTCTAGAAATCTCTTGGGGGTGCGTGAGTTCAGAGCTGCTGAGAAGTCCGAGGGAGCCAGGGACCTGAGACTGGGGTCCAGAGAAGGACTCCCTGGACTGAAAAACTTTACACAGCCTTAACGCTGGTAATTATGGTCTATTTGGTGAATTTTCTAAGGACTTCAAGCCTGAGAGGCAGCCTATCAGATTGCTCTGGGGCTGTTCTGAAGAGGTAAGGTAGGAGCTAGGATATATAGGAGTTTTGCAACAAAAACCAGGTGGTCAGTGTTAACTAAAGAAAACCAAACATCTCAAGTTAACTAATTTAGTGCTTTTCTTTAAGGGAAAGATGCAAGAGTCTGGGCTCACTGAAATTATTTCTTTAATATGTACCTTAGCCATATAGGGCCAGTATCCTGTTTTTTCCCATCCTGAGTCCCCTCAGGGTGTACCTTTGGTTGGGAGCTGATGGCTAGAGCATCCTTTGTTTGCTGATATGGTGGGCCACAATTGTCATTCACCTCTGCATCCCACCCTGCCCGGTCCTCCCTCCAGATGGGAGGCATGGAGGCCGTCATCACGGGCCTGGCCGATGACTTCCAGGTTCTGAAGCGACACCGGAAACTCTTCACGTTTGCTGTCTCCTTTGGAACCTTCCTTCTGGCTCTGTTTTGCATAACCAAGGTGAGGGGGGCTTGGCTCTGGGTCACCTGGGGCTCATGAGGCCGCATTTTAATCCAGTTAGATATTCCCAGACTTGAAGCAGAAGGTAGGACTAGGGGGACCATGGCAGTACCTGGTATCCTGAACTCTGTGGTCCAGTCCTCTAGAATTATATCCCATTGTCGTCTATCCCCTCTAAGCCTGAGGACATCCAGGTAAACCTGCTTATTGGTTTGGGGGTGGGGAGCAGCAAAGGGCCATTTTAAACTGTCAGCTTAAAAAAGTGCACAACCCGAAAGTTGAGAATTAGGTTTTATTTGGTAAACCAAACTGAGGACTTAACCTGAAAGTGTTAGTTGCTTAGTTGTGTCCAACTCTTTGAGACCCCATGAACTGTTGCCTGCCAGGCTCCTCTTTCCTTGGAGTTCTCCAGGCAAAAATACTGGAGCAGGTAGCCATTCCTTTCTCCAGAGGATCTTCATGACCCAGGGATAGAACTCGGATCTCCTGCACTGCAGGGAGATTCTTTACCATCTGAACACCAAGGAAGCCCTAAGCCTGGCTCAGCATCTCAGATAGCTCTGAGGCGCTGTTCCAACGAGGTCAGGGAGGAGCCAGGATGATTTCGGATGCATGCAGCAGGAAGCAGTAGCTTGCAGTAAGCAGTGGCTGGAAACAAGACCTTCGTTCCCTGACTAGAAACAAACCCTGGTTGCCTGGGTGGAAACGAGGAATCCTAAACATTAGACCATAGGGGCTGGTGCCTGGAATCTCTGTCCCTAGTCCTTGACTGCCTTGTAAGGAAAAATCAGATAAGGAGACGGAATGTATAGAGGTAAGTAAAGTATATATTAGAAAAGCAGAGTGCATGTGGAAAGATGCATGGGTGAACTCAGAGCTGCTAGAGTCGCGCCTTTGGAAGGTTTAAATCATTGTTAAAGGGGAAGTCTTCCAGGTCTTTATCTTCTTCTTGGCCAGTCGTCTTGCTTTGACCTCCCCATGGCTAATTTACCTCAGGACCCTTCCCTGGGTGTGCACACGTTTCTCAGTCAAGATAGATTTCATCGCAGAGGCATATGGAGGGGGTCTGGCATTAGTATGGTCTGACATCCCCTGCATTTTTGATCCCAAGAAGCCTTTTGCACATGTGGAGTGTCTCCCTGGCCCAAGGATGGAAAACGTATGACCTCTTGATCTCTTAACAGGGTTTAAACCCTCTCTGTTCACGCCAGTGAAGTACCCAATGCCTGGTTACCCACGGTATTCCTATTGTCATATCGAAGTGTGGATCTCAAAATGTAGGCAGGCCTTTGGTCCTAAACATGTAGCCCAGGGCCCATTAGTCTCTTGCTTCAGGAAATGTAAACACAGGGCTGGTAGTGAGTATCTGGCCTGGAGCCTGTCTTTTTATCGCCCCAGTACGTGTGAACAGGGGGCCAGTTGTAAATGTCAAACCCAGAGCCCACCTATCTCCTGCCTCAAGAATATATGAGTTTTTGCAACAAAGAACAAGGAAATCGGAACATCAAAAGATTACTGTTAATTAAAGAAAACCAGACATCTCAAGTTTAAGGAGTTTAGTGCTTTTCTCTGTATAGGAAGATGCAAGAGTCTGGGCTCATTGAAATCATTCCTTTGACATACAGCTCCGCTATCTGGGGCCAGTATCCACACTTTCTGATGCTGAGTGCCCCCACAGGGGGTGACTGCAGCAGTTGGTTGCTATATGGCAGGCATCCTGTTTCTATCCTGAATTCCCCCAGGGCTCACCTTCGGGGCAGCTGTAATGTGACGGCTTGATGGCTGCAGCATCCTTTGTTACTTACATGGGATGCAACATTTTATTCATTGATAAAATCCATCTTGCTTTTTTTTTTTAATACTGACTTATTCATTTATTTGGCTGTACCGTGTCTTGGTTGTGGCACGTAGGATCTTCGATCTTCTGAGGCATGCGAGATCTTTCTGTTTCATCATGCAGGATTTAGTTCCCTGACCAGGGATCGAACCCTGGAAGTCCCCCAGCTTGCTTTTTACTGGCTGAAGTCCCCACCCTCAGACCCAGTGACCCCAGAAAGTCTATGTTAGAATACGTAGCAGCAGCACAGTAGCACTGTAAACCTCATTGCTTGAGTATGGGGTAGGGGTGAGTTCTGAGTGAGCTGGACAGGGGAGAGCTCAATTTGATGGATGTAACAGTTGATCGCTATTTCTAGCCACGAAGGCCTCAGGCTCTCTCTGTCCACGCCCCAGGGTGGAATATACGTGCTGACCCTGCTGGACACGTTTGCGGCGGGGACCTCCATTCTTTTTGCTGTGCTCATGGAAGCCATCGGCGTCTCCTGGTTTTATGGTAGGTCCTGGGCCCTGAGTGTGTGTGGAAAAGCCTCAGCCCCCTGAACTTCTGGAGACTCTTCACCTGGTCAGGCAAAGGGGCTTTCCATCTCCAGGGCTGTCACTGGCTGATCCCGGAGTTGTATAAGTGACTTATATTGGTCATAGCTCTCAACTCATCTTTGCATGAACTCCCTTTAACACGAGGCGGCAAAGGCCCCAGAGGCATCGGTGTCAGCTGTTAAGAGAGGAATTCAGAGGAAACTGCTGCACCCTGAGCCATGCCATTCATTCTAGAGTAGGGCTGCCAGATTTTGTCAACCCAGGATACAAGACCCCTTGTTAATAAGACCCCTTATTTCAGATAGTAATTTTTTTAGCATATATCCCTATGTCCCAAATACTGCATGAAATTACTTAAACTAAAATTTATATTGCTGTCTCTGAAAATCAAATGCAACTGAGTGTCCTGTGTTTTCTCTGGCAACCTTATCTTGGAGCTGAATGGGGAGAACTTGGTAGAAAGTGAAATGTGTTGTCATTTGCTTTTTTCCCCGTGCATGTGTGTTAAGTCGCTTCAGTCGTGTCCGACTCTTTGCAACCTATAGACTTTAGCCCACCAGGCTCCTCTGTCTGTGGGATTCTCCAGGCAAGAATGCTGGAGTGGGTTGTCATGCCCTCCTCCAGGGGATCTTTCTGAACGAAGGATTGAACCCGTGTCTCTTATGTCTCCTGCCCTGGCAGGCTGGTTCTTTACCTCTAGCGCCACAGGGAAAGCCCCCAGTGTATCACAATTAACGTGTTTATCCTGTTCTCACTCTTTTCTGCTCATCAGAGTCTCGTCTCTTCTACCAGATTAAAGTCAGGGAAGCCTCTGAATCCACAGTCATCATTGTTTTAAGGTTCAGGAAGCAAGAAGAAAGAGCTGGGCTTTGGGATCAGGCCACTGTGGCTGTGTAACAGGGACAAGTCCCCTCCCCGAGCCCTGATTTTCCTGCTGAAAAGTGAATTGGGGTTACTCATAGAAGGGGACGCTACCCTTGAGTGTGTTCTCGCCTGTTCTGAACCAGCCAAGTGCCCATCTCAGGTCTGCTATGAGCCAGGGTGCCCCTGCTCACCCCAGCTTTCTGCTCTCTACCTGGGGGCCGACCCACAGGGAGGCAGCAGACGGGAGTGGGCAGCCCCGGGCTCTGTGGGGGCCTCAGTGATGGGCCCACCCTGTGTGTGTGCAGGTGTGGACAGGTTCAGCAACGACATCCAGCAGATGATGGGGTTCAAGCCCGGCCTGTACTGGAGACTCTGCTGGAAGTTTGTCAGCCCTGCCTTCCTCCTGGTGTGTAGTGTGTGGTGGGAGCGTCCCGGGGTGAGGGTGGAGGTGGGGATCTTTGCTTCTAAGGGGAGGAGGTTGGGATGCAGAGACCTGCTCAGGAGGCTCCGCCTGCCCTGTTGATTCCAAGGAGGCTTCCATGTGAGCAGGGTGTCCAACCCGGAGCCAGGTCTGGGGCGGGGGCTGTGTGTGCCGCCCCTCAGCCCAGCTCCAAGGTCACCTTTCTAGTCTTCTTCTCTTTGTATTGCTCCTGTTTCTTTGTCTCCTTTTCATGATCCATCCTTCCTTGAATCCTTTCTCTCTCTTTCCCTCCATCCTTATTGTTTCCATCCCCTGCATCCATCTCATGCATCGGTCCTCACTTCTCTCTGGCCCCTCTCTGCGTCTCTCCCTCCCTCCCACCTTCTCCTCCGTCTCCCCTTGTCTCTCTTCTCCCTCATCCTTGTATCCTTTCCCCCCAGTTTGTGGTGGTTGTGAGTATCATCAATTTCAAGCCACTCACTTATGATGACTACATCTTCCCACTCTGGGCCAACTGGGTCGGATGGGGCATCGCTGGCTCCTCCATGGTTCTGGTGCCCGCCTACGTCGTCTACAAGTTCTTCAGCACCCGGGGCTCCATTCGAGAGGTGAGCTCTGGACCAGCCCAGGGCCGAGTGGGGGACAGCTGGGGAGGGTGGGGGACAGCAGGGAGGGTGAGGACAGCAGGGGAGGGTGGGGACAGCAAGGGAGGCTGGGGACAGCAGGGGAGGGTGGGGACAGCAGGAGAAGGGGCATCCCAAGTCATTCCTGCTGGAGTGAGAGAGACAAACAGGAAGGAAAGAGAGGAGATGTATGTGTGATTGTGGTTGATTCACATGGTTGTATGGCGGAAACCAACACACCATTGTAAAAATGAAAAAAAACACACACAATGAAAAAAAGAATATGAGAAAAGAATATATATATACATACACACACACACACACACACATAGCTGAGTCACTTTTCTATATAGCAGAAACTTGCATAGCATTGTAAATCAACTATACTTCAATAAAATGAATCTTTAAAAAAGAGAGACAGATGGGACACAGACTCTAGAGTCAGACGGACCCACCATGTTGACCATGTTATTTACCCACAAGCCGCAGGTCCCACTTTTGTAACCTGGGATAATCACATGGCCCTTGAGAGGTGAAAGGGAATGCTTAGCCTGGTGCCTGGCACACGGTCGATCACCCCCACATGATGCCTGCTCTTATGTCGCCTGTCATATGTAGTGTCCTGCCCCTCTGTTCCTACCATTGACACCGTGATGAGCTCAGCCCTCCAGTCCCCTAAGGAGGAATTAGTCTGCATTAACTGCACCCACTCCTGTCTCATCTCCTAAGGTTTGTCATCACTGCACACATCTTCCACTATCCCCATCTGTAGTCACCATGACCTTGTATTTTGGACTTCACCTGCCTTTTTCCTGGATCTGATACCTGATCAGCCTAAAGAGAGATTTCCAAAGTACATTTCTTCTCTGAGCTGTGTGCATTGCAGATACATACATTCAGGATCAGTATTTGGGAACTGGAGACTTTTAACTGAAATTATGTCTGCCCTATTCTTTGGTTAAATGCCCTTTCTTTGTAAATAATGGTGATAGTCTTTTCCTCGTGTCCTGATTTCATTGCTTCTTTATCCACTGTCTTTGCTCATACTTATTGAGAGTCAGAACAGGGCAGGCTGTATTCTCAGCACTAGATCCACTCCCCTGGGATCACGTTCTCATGAGAGGACAGATACATACAGGAGGACCTAAAAGAGTGAGCCATGCAGTAACTTAGGGGAGAGGGTCCCAGGCAGGGCTGTGTGGGTGGACCATGTTCAGTGAGCTCATCCTGGGTGTGGAACCAGGACCTACTTTGAGTTTTTTTATTCTTCACACTTTGAGGTCCCCCCACCTAGTGATCAGACATTGATTCCAGACACATTCCCTGAGTCCACCCTGTGTCTAGCCCCCTAAGAAGGTGGCCCCGGCCCCCAGGCAGGACTGAGGTTCTGTCAACTGTTTGCTCACTGTGCTCTGAGCTTGTCTGCAGCACTGCCTCCGGTTGTGGTTGTAAAATTGCCTGTGTGTGTGTCTGTTCAGTGTCAGCCCCTTCCGTGAGCTGTAAGCTCCCCCAAAGCAGAGTGTGTGGGTGTCCTTCAGCCCTGGACCCCCAGGGCCGAGGCCAGTGTGTGACAGCAGTCATCGGCTCAGTAAGCATTCGCCGAATGCGTATCTCAAAGTCAACTGACCAGCTCCATAAACCAGGGTGGAGAGCGTCTTGTACAAACCTCTCCTGCTGTCCACTCGGGCCTGCAGGGACAAGCGGCAGGTGGCCCTGATGTGGGGTGTGCTCCGGGCTGCCGGAAGGGTGTCCCTGGGCCAAGCTGAGCCCTCCTCCACTTCTCCATCCTCACAGAGACTGGCCTATGGCGTAACTCCAGAGAGCGAGCATCACCTGGTGGCCCAGAGGGACATCAGGCAGTTCCAAGTAGGTGCAGCTTGGACCATTCCGGCGGGGACTGCGGGTGGGGACCCACTGCTCCCTTCTGTGCTAAGGCAGGACCACACACCACACATGCCAGAAAACCCAGAACGCTGCGGGCTCTAGCGCCTGGGGGTGTGATATTAGGAACAGAGGAAAAGGGGCCTGTCTTCTGCCCATTCCCAGCTTCCGCCTGCCCCTCTGCTCCTGGGTCCCGAGGTACCAGAGGCCCCAATTTCCTCAACTCTGTTCTCCCTCTTTGAGTTGTGACCGTGGAGTATCCCCAGATTAGGCTGAGGCTTGCTTATCTTGAAGGAAGCGCTGCAAGTACATCAGTGACTTGGTGATCTAAGTCCTACTCTTTTCCCTTTCAAAATGTGGGGGTGGGGGTTGAGGAGTTTCCCTGTGACTCCCCTGCTTCAGACTGATTGTGTGACTTTGCAAAGCCTCCTTTGCCCTTTCTAGGTCTCCGTGAAAGTTATAATTTAATTTTTTCTGTTTATTTAATTTATTTTTGGCTGTGCTCGGTCTTCATTGCTGCGCAGGCTTTCTCTAGTTGCGGCAAGCGGGGGCTGCTCTCTGGTCGGGGTGCTCGGGTTTCTCATTGCGGTGGCTTTTCTTGTTGCAGAGCACGGGCTTCAGTTGCAGCATGTGAGCGCAAGATCTCGGTAGTTGTGGCGCATGGGCATAGTTGCCCCGCAGCATGTGGAATCTTCCCGGACTAGGGGTTGAACCCATGTCCCCTGCATTGGCAGGTGGATTCTTAACCACCGGACAGACCACCAGGGAAGTCCCCGTGTGACAGCTAGGGAATCCTCCTAGGTGTTCTCCAAGTCTTTGAAGGAAGCAGCTGTGTTTCCTGCCCTCCCCTCTGTCCTACTGTCTTTCTCAGCAGCCTTCGTCCCTCCGTCCCTGCCCGCCCTGAACCTGGCCTTGCTGTCTCTCTCTGCAGTTGCAGCACTGGCTGGCCATCTGAACCTGGCCCCGAGGAGGAACCCTGCAGCGCCAATGTTCAGGTCAAAGGCCACCCCGGACACTGTCTTGGGATTCCTCTCCGACCCCCTCTTCTTCCTCTTTTCCAAGTTACCACTGATTTAATGACCTGGTTTTCTTTCACCTTCTGTTCACCTGGCCCGAGGGCTGTGGGCTTTTGGATTGCTAAGCCTCGTGGGAGAAGAGGAAAGGAGGGAACAGGAAAAATGACTTCTGTTGAACCTCTTTAGTTTCAAGGAAGTCTCCCCCCAGTTGTGGGAGCCAGCTGGGGCTGAGCTTCATGTCTCAGGCAGAACTCCCTACCGTGCTGGCTGGTACTTTGGGCCACAGAAGAAATCTTCAGTCCACCAAATCAGACAGAGGATGTTGCTTTTTGGGTCAGACACTGTAAAACCAAAACACGAATAAGCAGCCAGGCTGAGTTTGGGGGGCAAGGGAATGGTACCTAGATCTAACCTCTCTCGTTTGCCCTGGCCAGTGCTGGACCTTGATCAGGGAGCTTTGGGGATATTTGTTGCTGTTATGAAGTCCATGGATAGAACCTCTGGGGGGATCATGAGCATAAATCTTCATGGTTTCCATTCCAGTTGACCTGGGTTTGATTTGTGTGTTTTCTGGGACATTCTTCTGGCTTCTGGTGCTCAGAGGGCCCAGAGCTGTGGGTGTCATAGGAAGTGGCTTCTGCATAGGAACCAGATGAGTCTATAGAGGCCACATGTGGGTCTTGCTCTGTTAGGGACATCACACCCAGAGAGCTACCTGTGGCTCCTGGGACCTTCCTCGGGGACTCGGGATAGGAAGCCAGCAAGGCCAGCTGTGTGTCTCCACCACAGGACCCTCTGCTGTCCTCACAGAGCCAGGTCAGTGTCCAAAGGCCATCCGACAGACAGCTGTTTCTGTGTTGTTCACAGATACCTTCAAAGCCTTTCTGTGGGAATCCCCCCCAGTGTGGACCAGGGGTTCTTGAGTGACGGGGAGTGGGCCCTGAAAACTCCTTTTGTCTCTCTTCATGAGAGCAGCACGGAACCCAGGATACCGCTCCCCGGTCATGCAGGTTGAGGTCACTCATATTCCGAGCTGAGGGAGCAGGTTGGCTGTTGGGAAGCATTTCTAGGTTGATTTCTGATAAACTCTCACGAGTGATGCCCTCTGGCGGTGCGTACTGGTTAGTGTTGGCTCATTCAGAGGTGATTTATAGTCGGTGGCATCTATTTGGAATTTCTCTTTGTGGTATCAGTTCCTTATACGCTCGGAAACCTAGACTTGTGGGTTCTTGTTCTGACTGTGAGAGGCCCTGTTGCAGAATCTTGGGGGTAAAAACGAGGCCACATCATTTTCACTGGGAGTACAGGGTGACACCCCAAAGGTGCTGTAGGGAAAGTGGGGCGGGGCAGGGGGCAGGGGCGGGCAGTCTCGGAGCCTGATCTACTGATTGCGGAGTCCGTGGCAGATGGTTACTTGGGGGCTGGCTGGGGGCAGGGGGATGGATTTTCTGTCAGAGCTCTGTTGAGTCAGGCTCCTTATGTCTTTCTTTAAAGCGGGAACCTCAGGAGACTTTGGATCTTCTCATATAAAAAAAGTCCAGTTAGAAATCAGAGACAACCCAAGTAGCAGGTGCCTTAGACCCTGAGAAAGGTGCAGCCTGGAAGCACCCAACCGAGTGGAATAAACAGGTGTGGGAATGAGAGCGGGGTGACCGGTGCCTGGTGGTTTTCTGGTCCCACCTGTGGCTCCGAATCCGCCCCTGAAGTGTAATTCCTCCCTAGGTATGACTTTTTTGTTGTTTTTTTACAAAGCACTTTCATTCACGTTGCCTCCCATCCGCCCAGCAAATTCTGTAGGGCTGGCTTCCCTGTCCCCATTTCCCAGATGAGAAAACCAAGGTCCAACATTTCTGTCATTCTTGCTCAAGGTTCCTCAGCTACTAAGGGATCCAGCCGGACCCTCAACTCTCAACTCTGACTCTCAGCTGAGAGCACTTTGACATTCCCAGAACAATATGGTTCACCATGCCCAGGGCTGTCATGAAATGTAAACAACAATCCATCCAGTCAAGTGGCCAAGGAGTATTTATTTCTTAGCAAAAGAGCAATGTGTTGGAAGAAGGGAAGAGGGGAGGAGGAGATGTCATTTATTCTCCTCTAGCTGTTTGCCAGGGAGGAAAGTATTTCACTGACTTCCTTCGATGAAAAGAGCCACTCTAGGGCCATGGTCCCCAACTTTTTTAGCACCAGGGACTGCTTTCATGGAAGACAGTTTTTCCATGGACCGGGGTGGGGAGGGTTTCAGGATGATTCAGGCGCATTACATTTATTGTGCACTTTATTTGTAATGTTATTACTTCAGCTCCACCTCAGGTCATCAGGTGTTAGATCCTGGAGGTTGGGGACCCCTGCTCTAGGGAACAGTGGCATGTGAAGAGCTGAGTCTTCTGGGCAGATATGAGTCAGAAAAGCCTGTATACCAGGGGCCCCCTTCAGACAAATCCTGCCGTTTGCTCTTGCCGTCTGTATGTGGCCCTTCTGCTTCCAGACATATGTCTGAGGGCGAATTTGGAAATGTGGTGCTAGCTGACCCAACACCAACCAACCCAATAGTGCTGCTTTCTGGGGAGAATTGACTCCCGAGCCTGGGGAACAGCTCTGGGGGTAGGGGGACCTGGGACACCCGCGGACGTTCTCATGAGGTGTTGGCAGACCTTCTGGGTTCACCTTTCACCCACATTTAATGAGAAGAGAGCGTGGGCTTTATCATAAATGGTGTTTGACTTCTTCTTTGAGGACATTTTATTATTATTATTATAGATGTTACCCAGGATAAGGGTGCTCTTGTGTACTGTATAGGGCACTTTTGCTATTTTACTAGATTTGTAAAGAATTTTTGTTTTCCACAAAGTGTTGAAATATCTGTTTAAGATCATTCCGTTAACATCTCTTCAATGTCTAATTATTTAGTGTCGACCTGTGAGTTGGTCTTCATTCCAGATGCGAATGAGACAGAGGTGAAGGGGACCTGACGACTCTTGCCAAATATCCTGCTAAATAAAGGTCCTCGAAGCTGCCTTAATTCTCAGAGGGGTTCCAGCCCAGGTGGGGGCCTGTCTCTTGCCAAAGGATCCTGGTAATGTGAGTGAGACTAAACATTCTTACCAAAGATGTCATTTCTTAGTAAGAAGTTCACCAAGCTCGTTTCATTTCTATCCTTTGAAAGCCATGGACGGGAGAACAGAGGGAGTGTGGCGTGGGGGGAAGCAGTGCAGCATTTAGAGTTTTACCAGACTGAGTCTGTGACTGTCTTATTGGGTAACCTGGGGGCATGGGTTCCACTTCTGTGGGCTGCAGAGTTCTCTGCCTGTAAAAAAGCAGTGATTGAATCAGAGGATTGAAGATCTCACCCAGTTAAAAAAAAAAAAAAATCCTGTCTCCATAGCAATGTTATTATGTTAAATTTACAGAGAAGGAAGCACACAGCTTACTGGAGGGCTTTCCCGAATGATCTAGTGACCGGTAACAATCTACTAAGTAGAGACATGTTGGAAGTATAATGTTTTCTGCACATTCAGCACTTCCTCTTTCTCCAGTATTTCTTCAGCTGTTGACAGAAACACTTGGTATTTTAAAAAATAAATGCAACCCTTTTGTTTGAAGGAATTTGAGGGTAACAGGTGTCATGCCCTCGTGAGTCCGAGAATCCACAGCTCTGAGGATGTGCAGCTTGGCTATAGTTACAGTCATACAAGTCACCAAAATTCTGGTGAATGTGAAGTTGCTTTCGGGGTTCCTGCCCTCATCCTTCTGTTTATCCACTTCTGTGTAAGCAAGCACTCTTTCAATGGTGCCCTGTGTCACGGACTGTTCCAATGTCATGCAGATTTCCATATCTGGTGTGTGTTTATTTTAAAAGCTGTCTTCTTCATGGAAAATTCAGTGTACAGAATAATAAAGGATATTTCCTGTGTCATATATCTGGTAGTGGTATTCTTTCTGGCTTGAAGGTAAACTGCTACAAAATTAAGTATGTCCAGTGGGTCTTCCATGATCAGTCTCCAGCTAGTAATGAAGAGTTTCTGGTCATCGTGGCCCACCTTTCACCCAGATGACTCTTTTTATAACCTAGGACAGAAGTTTGAAGGGAGGTAAATGGTTGACACATATTTTCAGTTAATTAGAAAATGGATATCTGATTAGCTAACTAGTTTCACTTTTTCATTTCTAGGGCTGAATTTCAAGGGCCCTTCTGTTTTTGACTATGATATACTCTCAGGGAGCAATTATAGATTGTGGTGGACGAATTCATACTAAAATGTGAATGACTACCTTTCTAGGTAGCTCCTAATAGGCCGAAGTGGAAGTTGCTGCTTTTCATCCATTCCATATTTTTAATGTAGGTTTAAGCAAACATTTTCTGTAAAGATCTCTGTCACAAGTACTCAATTCTGTTGTAGAATGAAAGTAACTTTATTTACAAGACAGGTGGTGGAATGGATTTGGCCTGCAGTCTGTGGTTTGCCCTGGATTGGGGAAAAGAACAAAGGGTTTTGAGTCAGGTTAGACCTGGGTTTGAATACCAGCCCTACTACTTACTCCTGTGGAATCTTGGACAAGTTACATAAAATCTCTGAGTCTCTCTTGCTTCTGAAGAATGAGAATAAGACTTTCAAGAGGATTAGCAGGATCAAACAAGATGATGAACACTTAAGAGCAACCTTTCAGGGGCCACAGTGCCTGGATCCAAATTCTGGTTCCATCACTCAGTTGTGTGAAGACTTTGGCAAGTTATTTAACCTCCCTTGCCTCAGTTATCATCTCTACATGGGAATGATGATAGTGACCACCTCATGGGGCTGTAGAGAGGATTAAATATTAATATTGGATTCAGAATAGGGCTAGTTTGCACAGCTTGTTAGTTTATGTTTAGCACGTGTCGGTTACATAATGATTATCTATTTCTTCTCCTTCTCACCCATCTTTGCCCATTTCAAAG